CGTAAATATATTTTGCAGGTATATGTTATATAAAAATAAAGGTATATTTTGGATATTCCTATAAGCTCATTCATCTTAATGTTTCCATGTTGCTAGTAGATAATGCGAATCCTAACACAAAAAAGTGATACGTTCTTTTAGCTTCCTAAGGTTAAACCTGTTGACCTTGTCTCGCACACGGAACAACGCCAAACAGGCACAAACCGCGTTAACTAAAATACAAACCTCATTATGTTTATTTATAAACCTCATATTCTCCTATATTATTATTATTATAGATATTAAATACTTTAAATAGTAACATAAAACCAATATGAAGGGAAAATCCATCTTCTCAGGGTTGTTTCGATACCATTCGAGACTAATTCGGATAGTTATATAGCGGTCAAGCGACTTACCGAGCGATGTATGATTGTGAAAACATAGCGTCTAAAACCTCTCCGTTAGACCTGCGGGGTATCATGCGCTCAAGGCATTCTATAGCAAATACAACCTGTTGTAGCATATGGCAACGTATATAAATGCTACGACAGAGAACTATAAGGTAATGGTCAGGCTTCTAAGAGGCGAAGTAAGGTAGGTCTGTATTTCGTGCTTTTGCAGATTCAGACAGGGCCGATTGCTTGACATAATGTTCTCTAACGAATGAATGTTGACGTATAGCGGAAAGCGAACCTAGTCCTACAAAATGAGCACCACAAATATTTTCCCTGTCTTTACTCGTCTTGTAGGACCAGGCGACCCTTAATCAACGTACATCGGAGTATGTATGGCAGCATTAACGTAGTTGTATACATACGCATAGATACGATAAAGTAGATGCAGTTTTTTTGAGTACGCTAGGATTTGGGTCTATCAGAAACGCGAATCGTACGAGATGATTATTGCCGTAAATTTTCTCGTTTCCCGGCATGGCTCGTGTAATATGTACGCTCTGAAGAGCAATCAACAATTTGTTTCGTTAGGAATGGCCTGAAATGAGGGCTATTTATAGAATTCCTGCGTCTTAGAAGATAGATAATAATCCTTTTAACACTTTCTACTTTGGAATATGTAACTGTTAAATTTACAAGCATCCTTCTATAAGATAGTGCATTTAGAGACTGTCTGCTTTTAGAAAGACCCGTGCCTGCATTTGACAGAATTGAGTTTAGACGATTTTACTTAGGCCTTGCAAGGATTCGCAATTTTTGAAGTGGCTCCATAACGTCTGTAGTTATCTCTAACCTTTTTAGCCGAATAAATGCTTCATAAGGTCATAAAATTGATGCGCAGTGAGGAATTTTCGCACGATCAATCAAGCCAATCGAAGGGCATGATTATATGTAACTAATAGAATTACGCTTTTCGCATAACTTCGTTAGTTGCGAACGTTTCATAAGGTACCAAACAATAAATCAACCATTATTTTATAACGGGTATTGAGACTGACTTTTTTTTTCCTTTTTAAATCCTTACTAACAGTATTCGACGTTGTAGGGGCAAATTCGGAACAAATACATTTCTGTAAGTGAAGGGAACTTTGGCTTAATTAATATTAGATGCTCTAAAACCATACACACGGACGAACGAATCTCGGGTTAAAAGAATCAGGGGTCCGGGCCAGCTTTAGGTCCTACCAACGACACGCGCACTGTGCACGTAAAGTTGACAAAGCTAACATAATATATTTTTTTCCGTGCAAACAAATCGGAAGTCGAGCTTGCTGGCAGATGACGTCGTTATGGGGTTTTCCCTAAACTTCAACAAATAATAGTTTTCTAAGCAATACATGTACCAGTATATACATCGTCAACATATATGCTCAGTGTCCACTCTTCTACGTTTCGACTTTCGACAAAGGCTCGTTTATGCCTTTGGAACGTGTCGTAATCAAATTTAACCATGGATTTCCACTCTGCGGACAGTACGAGATGCCGGAGTCATCCGGACCCCCATTTCTAACAAGGTCGGCTGCAACGAACATTACTGCCGCCATTAGCTCTCGTGCCGAGATGGAGTTTCGCAAACAGAGATCAGCAAAACAGTCATTTGTACGTTTTCACACGGGATTTTACAATGGAGTTTCACAGGAATCAGCAAAAGCTGAAAATCGACTGTTCTAAGTAAACGGTCGTAATAACACCATGTTCAAACCAGGACGGATTTTCACTGGTGCTTGCTATCACACCTCATGAACAGTGAAGTGAGATCAGTAATAAACAGAAAACTAACTATACTGCCAGTCTGAGTCACAAGTTAGAATAGATCTAACAGGAAGACACTTGAGGTCTCAATACGACCGCCAACGGCCACCGACAACCGCCATCGCGAGCAGTTTATATACGTCCACAAAGTTTGAAAGCGCGCCGCTGCTATAACTTATTTACGCTCAAGGCCGGCGCTTTGTTCTCCGAGCCGAGTAAATTCATTGAAAAAGCGTATATCGAACTTAAACTTCGATTGTATTGTTTGCGTATTATCGTTATTGTGTCGAACCGAACTTCGGCTCGGGGAAATTATTTGGCCAAAAACATCCATCGATTAAAGCTGTGCCCAGATATGTACGTTAACCCTGTTTCATTTTATTTCGCAT